GAGGGAGCGCGTCCCGGGACACTCCCATGGCCTCGCCGAGGGTGTGGGGCGAGCGGACCGACGCTAACAGGGGCTTGAGGTCGCCCCAAGAGCGAGAGACAAGATCCCCTCGTCTGGGGATGGGTCCTTCCTGGCGTCGGCTGCGCGCGGGGACCCCTCTGCGCCATTTGTCAGGGCCCTGTCCGGCTCAGCGGTGGGGGGAGAAAAGCACAAGGATGGACAGATCCTCCCGGCCTGTTCCCTCCCAACGCGTAGCCACACGCACGCCACTCGGGACCCACCTCCGCTGTCAACGCGGACCCCCTTTCGTCCGCCGCAGCCCTGCGCAGTGACCGCTCGAGCCCCGGAGTTGCTTGAGGACTGGAGCCGGGAAGGCAAGGTCCGCACATGCGAAATGCGGGGCCTGGATCTCTGCTTTCCTGACGCCTCCACCGAGCCAGAACCAGGGACCCTCTTAGGAGGGCCCGCTCGGTGGCCCCATGCAGAATTGGCTGCCTGGTGATCTCCTGCCTCCACTACCGGCCCCACACCCAGTGGGCTGCAAGCCACAACCCCTACCCACCCTACCTGACCCCCACCCACCCCGCCCGTGTAGCTGGCTCAGAGTGGGCACTGCTGATTTTCACTCTCGTTGAAGGGAGATGTGGAAGCCCAGAGGGCTTATTTCACTGATTCAACCATCCATTCAAGGAATGTCTACTAGGTGCCCAAGGCAGTTGTTCCCACATCTCTGTAGGTCTCAGCTGGGAAGAAGTGGGTACACACTTAGGAACTTGGGTGTCCCAGCACATCCAGAAAAGTACAGTACGAGGAGTTTCCTAAGCCAGGAACACACACCAATTCCTTCTCTTGCATATCCACTCACAAGGTCATGGGTATCCATTGTTTGTGTTCACCCCCATGTGCTCCCAAGTTCACAAGCCCTCCACAAAACTCAGGAAAGAAGTCCTTCTTTGGCTGGACATCCCCTATTTGTCCTTCAACCCTCTATCGGGGTCACCTCTGGGCAGCCTTCTCTGATGTCCCCATTAGATGCCCCTGCTGTGCTCCACCCTGCACTCCTTTCCTCTAGGGCAGTGCCACTCACTCTGTGTTGTCAAGATCAGGTGTTTAATCTTCTGTTTGCCCACTTCCTGTATCTTAGTAATTTTTTTTTTTAATCTCCAGCACCTGACAAAGTACCTGACACATAGAATGAATGAGTAAAGGTAAATCTCCCAACTACGCAGTTAATAGTGTCTTATCATTTAACATATGGTTTCACACTTAAGGAGTCAAATGTTGCCTAATAATGATGATGTTGCCCTGCAAGAGTCTCAGTGTCTCTCTCTCTCTCCCTCTCTCTCTCCTTTTTTTCTCCCTCTCATATCTTCAGCCTGGTGCTCTGAGAGATGATGAGCACAGATCAAGGAGGCTTCATTTGCTCCCCAGAGGACAGGATTTCACTCCAGGTCCTGTGGTCAAGGTGATCCAGTCGTGGGAAAAGGCTGTTGAACAAGCCCACCCAGACCCCTTCCAGAGGGTCTGCTGCAAATATCAGGCTTGTCTAGATTTGGCGAGCAGGGCAATTGTCAGGGATGGTGGAAAGAGGCTGGCTTGGGAGGGTGGGGGTGCATAGAGCTCGGGGACTGACAGAGCCTAATGCTGGAAGCTCAGTGGCCATTTGTTCTGCCACAGCTTAGCTGTGGTTCTGGCTCAGCCAGTAGGGTCATTGAGCAGTTGACCTTGATTGCTGACCTCTTGGCTGATGGAGGGAGGGGCAGGGGAGGACACTGTCAACTGTGACATCCAGGGGGTCCAAGCTCTGCTCAGGGAGCTCTGATTCTGGGCATTAGGACTAATCTCTCTTTGGCTTCTGGGGTGCAGGTCACCATTCACCCTTGATTGGGTGAGCATTCAAGGGAGACCTGAACCAATGTATTCTCAAGACCCAAATTTGGGCAAACCCTGGCCAGACCAGCACTGGATTGAGGGTGGGGTGAAGTTAGGAGGCAGGAAGAAAGTGCACAGTAGGTATGGGGGTGAGTGGGCTGGGGACCAGGGATGCAGCTCTGAAGGGGCGGGACTGGTCAGAATGCCAGTCAGGTGATCCATTTAGAGGGATGATCTGACTGAATCCTCATAATCCTTGGACTCAGGACTCAGCCTCTGTCCTAATCTCATCCCTGCAGATCATCCTCTCTGAGGACTGATGCGGCCATTTATTCTCCCTTTACCCTTATTTCTAAATGCTTAGATCCCTTCATTAAAAAGAAAGAAAATGTGAATCTCTTAAACATGCAGAAAGTACAGCACAGAGAATAACAATAAATATCTATCCACACACTGCTGAAATCCAACAACTGTTCATGTCTTACCACATTTGATTCAGAGATAGCCTTTCCACTTAAGGTTTTAGTTTTACTTCATATGTACGTATCCACAAACAATACAGAATATTGATTCGTGTGCTTAAAACCCTATCTAGGGCAGCTGGTGGCTCAGTTGGTTAGAGCATGTACTCTGAGCAACAAAGTTGCCGGTTCGACTCCCTCATGGGATGGTGGGCTGTTCCCACCACAACTAGATTAAAAATGGCAACTGGACTTGGAGCTGAGCGGCGCCCTCCACAACTAGATTGAAGGACAATGACTTGACTTGGAGCTGATGGGTCCTGGAAAAAACACACTGGTACCCAATAAAAACTTATTTAAAAAAAAACAAAAAAACCTCACCTATTTAAGTGGTATTATATTGTATACATTCTTACGTTAAACTTTCTTTTTTCTCTCTTTTTTTTTTTTGCATTTATCCATGTTGTTTTACATAGTTCCAATTTGTGAATTTTAACTGCTGAATACTGTTTCATTGTTTGAAAATACCACAATTTATTTGTCCATTCTTCTGCTAATAGGCATTTAGGATGGTTCCAGTTTTCTGTATTATAAACAATGCTGCCACGAACAGTGCTATGTGTGCCGCCTTGGCATATATATAAGCACTTCTGTAAGGTAGATACCTATTGTAGAAGTAGCATTTCTGGGTCATAGAATATGTGCTGAACATTACTAGTTAAACTTTACTAGTTATTGCCAAATTGTTGTATCAGGCAGCTGGACCAATTTACACTCAGTACTAACAGTGGCTTTCAATGCTTGTTTAGATTCACTAACATATTTATAAATTCCTGTTTTCACCATTCTCTCTTGCAGTCCACGCCTTCCTTCTTATGAAGTATATCCTTTGGTGGCATATCAGTGAAAGTCTTTGCATGTTAAACAGTCTCAGTCTTCGTCTTAAAATGTCTTTATTTCATACCATTTAAATGGAAATTCAGTGGGCATAGAATTTTAGGTTGACAGTATTTTCTTGGTCTTTCGAAGATATTCTGTTTTTTTCTATAAAATTTTGTAGCTAATAAGAATTCTGCTGCTGGGCCGGCCAAGTGGCCCGTTGGTTAAGAGTTGGCTTGGGACGCCAGCTCTGAGCAGCAGGGCCCTGGTTCGGATCCCACATGAGGGCCACTGATGCTGCACCTCTACAGCTAAGATGGTGAACAACAGCTCGACCTGGAGCTGGGCTGCCGTGAGTCGCTGGAGACAGCGCAGGCTACAGTGGAGCTGCCATAAGCTACTGTGGGTGGCTAGCAGCCAGCATGAGTGGCCGGCAGCCGGCATGAGCTGCCAAGAGCCGCTGTGAGCAGCCGTCCGGAGGCCGGNTGTGAAGCTTGCATAAGGACACCTGCTCCTTCCAGTCCTGGTCTCTGGAGACTGGGGCAAATAGTCAAGGAAAGATTCAGGCACTGGGTGTGTCTTTAGGCCAAATGGGGCAAGAGTTACAGTTGGGGTCTTCCTAGAGAGTTAAAAAACGATCCAGGAGGCTTGTGAAAAATTAATGTTTCCATAATAAGAAAACATTGCCTGTCAGCAGGTAAAGAAAGAAAACAACTAAATGAAGTAATTCTAAATGTTTTACTGGACAAACACGGGGGCCCTTTGAAATGTGCTCTATCAAATAGCCTTTTTGAAATTTTCTACAAGGTGCACCTTCCGTTTCCCTGCTGAGTGTGTGTGTTGGGGGGGAGGGGGGAGGGGCGGTATCTACTCTCCCATCCCTGAGTGTTATGAGGCCCCTCCCCCTGCTGATCACAATGTAGTTTTTAGGGGAGAAGTCTGAGATACTTGTGTGTAAAGGAAAGCCAGCCATTTTAATGAATTAAGAAACTGGGGTGTGCTGGTCCCCAGCCTCTGGTTGGCAAGCACCCCCTCCTTTGCTGCAATGCAGTTCCTCCAAATAGCAAAAATCTTGTCTGGATGGTGATTGTTTGCTTTGTTTTAGAATTCTGAATCATTGGTCTTACTTTCTCCAATAACAGCAGCCTAAGGTTCATCTGGGACCCCTTGCATTTTCTATTCCCCATGGGGGAGCAGGGTTGCCCACCCCCAAGGGTGCACAGGGGCCTGGGGACACTTCACAGGAAGTCGTGGAAAATGGACCAGCATCCTTTCAGGGGCCTGGGTGTGGTGGGGACACGTGAGCGTTGAGAGGTTGGCTTTCTCACCTGTCCCCCTCCCAGGCAATCTCGTTCAGGCAGTATGCTATCCTAGAGAACCAAAGCCACAAGGCTTGCATATGAAGTTAGTGATGGTGACACCAGAAAGACAGTTCACATGCTCACTTCCCTGCTTTTCAAAATAAGAGACAGCTTGGGATCTGGGTCGAGAGGCAGTGAGAACAAACCCCCTGCTGAAAGGCTGCTTCAAAGCTCTGTCCAACTAGGCCTCTTTGTCTGTCTGGCAGCTCCCCCAGGACACACAACCTGGTTAGCTTGTGATTAAGGCCCCAAAGGCCTTGGGGACCTCCCTCAAATCCTGAACCCTGAGGAGGAGTGGAGGGGGCTCAGGTGAACTGGGGAAAGGGTCGAGAGTTCTGGGGATCAGGGGGAGGAGGGAAGAAGGCAAGGAATTGGGAGGGGGGGGGAGAAAGAAAGCTTTCTGGGAAGACTCACCCTCCATAGCTTGCATCCCCCGCCTCTCCAAGGACCCCCAGCGTTGGCCTTTCTTCCTCTCACAGCCCTCAGACACCTCGTAGGCGCCTAAAGTGGTCACTGTGGGTCCTGTGAGCAGGGAGAGAGGGGGGATTGTGGGAGGCTAGGGCCGGCTGGGGGTTGGGGTGCAGGGCAGAGAAGGGGGCATGCCTTCCAGCCCTTCGGAGCCCTGAGGGTTTTGATCCCGGTGAAGAGTGCTCGGCTCACTCTGCCCAGCACGGCGACTCTGCTCCCTCAGCCGCCCCTCGAGCTGGGCCTGCGGGGACCGCGCCCTGCGCTGCCCAACCTCCTCAGCACCCCCAGTGCAAGGCTCCTCTGCCTTGCACAGACGGAAGGGGTGTGTGTCTCTTAAACCTAGAGGGGACAGGAGGAGAGGGGAAAGGATGGGAGAGCGGGCAGGAGCTACTAAAGAAGCGGCGGGAAGGGGGAGGTGGTGCGCGGAAGGGGAGGCAGGTGGTGGTGGGGAGGAGGCGCCGTGGGAAGGGGTCTGGGCCAGAGCCGCTCCCCTCCCCTCCATGCTCTGCCTGGACCCCGCCCGCCCCACCCTTGCCCCGCGCTCAGAAGCCTTCCGGGCCGGAGGGGGTGCGGGGTCTGGAGCCCCCCTGGGCTGGACAGACGTGATACGGAGAGGGCTCAAGGAAAGAACTGCCAGGGAGGATGCAGCCGGTGGCGGAAGACCCAGCGGGAAAGATGGAGACCAGGCCCGGGGTGAGGGGCGGGATGGAGGGAGGAAGACTTAGGAGGGGAAGGTGGGAGCGGCGGAGG